TGTGAAAGCTGGACCATAAGGAAGGCTGAGTGCCAAAGGATTGAGGCCTTTGAATTGTGGTGCTGGAGGAGACTCCTGTGAGTCCCTTAGACTGCAAGGAGATCAAACAAGGAGAACAACCCTGACTGCTTTTTAGAAGGCCAGATACTGAAGATGAAACTCAAATACTTTGGCCACCTAATGAGAAGGAAGGACTCCCTGGAGAAGAGCCCAATGCTGGGAACAATAGATGGCAAGAGAAGAGGGGGATGGCAGAGGATGAGGTGGCTGGAGTCACTGAAGCAGTTGGTATGAGCTTAAGTGGACTCCGGGGGATGGTGGAGGACAGGAAGGCCTGGAGGAATGTTGTCCATGGGGTCGCGATGGGTCGGACACGACTTGGCGACTAACAACAACAACATGGTTGGTTTTCCTATTTGTCTTCTTTCTTCAAGTTTCCCTAGCATGATTATCTTCTCCAGTAGTTTTGCTTTCTCAAGATATGTCCAAAGTTTTGTCATTTTCATTTCTCGGGTAAGTTCTGGCTTGATTTGAGCTAGGACTCACTTTTGCCAGTCCAAGGTATTGGCAAATCTCTCCTCAATTTTCTTCCAGCCAGCTTTCCTCACTGTCAAGCTCTCATGCCAGAAGTAGTCAACCCATTGCAGAATACACTGCAGCACCTAAATGCACGGCCAGCACAGCATAGGCAGGGCTGCAAGCAGCATTACAGCAGAAGTCCATGAGTAGCATTTGAGTCGCCCAGTCCTCTTGAGCATCGAGGGTTGACAGTGGATCCTTTAGGTCAGGGGTGGACTTCCAGATGTTTTGGCCTACAGCTCCCATAACCCTCACCTTTGGCTTTGTGCACTTGGTTTGCTGAGCACTACTCACCAGAACAGGTTGAAGACCAGGCAAACAAAGGGAAAAGCCACCCACCAACCCTCCATCCGCAAGATCCACCTTCTCCAGATGGAGTTTCTGTCTGTCAGCCTTCATCCTGTCCCTTGCTATGTCCTGGTTTAGGACATCCACAGCCCCATCTGAATTTGATGAAAAAGAAGGATAAAGCGAAGTGCCATCCACATTTTTGGCAAGACCTCAAACCAAATCTCTGGGTGCCTCTTCCCAACACTTCCATGCAAAGGTGGAACAGGACAGGGGGCAAAACAGTGTCTTACTGGACTCCAAATGATAACTGCTAAGGAGCTGAGAAGTCATCCTCCAGATATTCTCCCCAAAGCAGGACAGGGGATATCTGCATAGGAGATTAGATGAGGCTGGGGACTTAGGGGCACAGATTAGAGTCACCCCCCCTTGAAGTCGAGGGGCTCCTCAGGGCATTGGACATTCCAAAGGCGCCAGGCCCTGACGGGTTACACCCGAGAGTACTTAGAGAGTTGGCAGGGGTTCCCTCAGGCCCGCTGGCCTCCATTTTTGAGACCTCGTGGAGAACGGATGAAGTTCCAGAGGACTGGAGGGTGGCATCAGTGGTCCCAATTTTCAAAAAGGGTAGTAGAAGGGACACGGGGAATTATAGACCTGATAGCCTTACATCCATTGTAGGAAAAACTATGGAAAGGTTCATAATAGAGAGAGATCTAGTGATGCTAGATAGGGAAGGGAGGCTGACAGCCACACAACAAGGCTTCTGCAAAAACAGGTCCTGCCAGACAAACCTTGTGGAATTCTATGACAAGGTTTCGAGATGGCTAGATGGAGGGGATGCAGTGGATGTGGTATACCTGGATTTCAGCAAGGCCTTTGACAAAGTGCCCCATGATATCCTGGTGGAGAAACTGAGGAGTTTTGGGATACACCAAAGCACTGTCCGGTGCATTAGGGCATGGTTGACTGACCGAAAGCAGAAGGTAACCATTAGTGGGGAATCATCGGGATGGTGGCCAGTGACAAGCGGGGTCCCCCAGGGCTCTGTCCTGGGGCCGATCCTGTTTAATCTTTTCATTAACGACATGGAAGAAGGGGTGAACAGTCTGCTGATCATATTCGCAGATGACACTAAAACTGGAGCAGTGGCCACAACTGAGGAGCAAAAGGATCTGGCCAGACTATGGAAGTGGGCAGGAGACAACAGGATGGTGTTCAATGTGGATAAGTGCAAGGTCTTGCACTTGGGGCATAGGAATAGGTGTCATGAGTACAGGTTAGGTGACAAGTGGCTGGAGAGCAGCACTTGTGAAAGGGACCTCAGGGTATTGGTTGACTGCAGGCTGAACATGAGTCAGCAGTGTGATGCTGTGGTCAAGAGGGTGAATGCCACCCTTGGTTGCATAGCCAGAAGTGTGGCTTCTAGATTAAGAGAGGTATTACTACCACTCTATATGACTCTGGTGCACCCACAACTGGAGTATTGTGTTCAGTTTTGGGCCCCTCATTACAGAAAGGATATAGCCAGGTTGGAGTCAATGCAGCGTAGGGCCACAAGGTTGGTGACTGGTTTGCAGGGGATGCCGTATGAGGCAAGACTGAGGGAACTGGGTCTCTTCAGCCTGGAGAAGAGGAGACTCAGAGAGGATATGTTGGCGACATACAGGTATGTGAGGGGATGTCACACGGAGATGGGTAGAGACCTGTTCTCCCCTGTAGAGGAAGGCAGGACGCCCTCCAACGGAGCAAAGCTCAGGAAGCCAAGGTTCCATTTGGATGCCAGGAAGCACTTCCTGACAGTCAGGACCCCGAGGGTGTGGAATGGGCTTCCACGGGAGGTGGCTGAGGCCCCATCGGTGCGGGCGTTCAAGGATAGGCTGGACATGCACATGGTGGGCATGTCATGAGCGGAGCCAGCTGGTGCTGGAGGTCAGACTAGATGGCCCGGGAGGCCCCTTCTGACTCGCTCTGTTTTCTATGTTTCTATATTATCATACAGGCATCAGAGAGCCATGACTCTTGGCCCACACAGGAGTTAAACTAAAACTGGTGTTTTGAAACCTGTGGAAAGGCTTAAAAATGTGTAAAAGAAAGAATCATGAAAGGTGAAGAACCAAGAAAATATCTTTTGGCTCCTGTGTTGGCCAGGATCATTTAGCTGCTGCCTTGTTAGGCAGGAGCTTCAGCTTGGCATCAGTCACTGCCTTTTGCAGAACATCTGACGACCATTACAAAAAATTAGCTGTTGTAAAATCTCTTATTTTCAGAAACCTTTAAATCCTGCTGGCAAAGAGCTTGCATTTTGCAAGTGAGAAAAAAATAATCCTGCGGGGGCAAGCTACCAAACATTGAAAAAAAATAGAGCAAAAAAAATCTCTTTGGTTTAGAGGTGTTCTTAATAAAGACAGCTATTCTAGCCATATTCTCAAATCACTCTCATCTTTGGATACTTTCCAACACTCACATACAAGTTTAGATTCTTTAAAGACACTATTATTGAATTCAGCAGCCAGCTGGGATGTTACAAAGAGAGAATTATTACATAAAGCCGAGAATAATGATCCACAGCAGAACCAGATGAAACAAGAAAAAAAGGGTTCCTACCTATAAAGGTAAATGGAGCAGCAGGGTGTGGGTAGGGGGAACTTGGGCAATGGCATTTTATTTATTAATTTATGGTAGAGTTTTACAGTCAGGTCAGATCCTGAGCTAGTGAAAATTGTGGGTGGTTTTTAGAATTGAAAGAAGAGGTGACTTGGGGTTGGGACTTCCCAATTTTATATTCTCACATAGCTTTCCAAATAGCCTGGATTCAGGCCACTGAGGGGTTTAACGATCCAAACCGGCAACTTAAATTAGGCCCAGAAATTATAGGCTACGAAGTAGTGCTTTGGCAAGTCCTATAAATAGAGCAGGTCGGGAGCGAGTTAGCCACATCCAGTTGTCTCTTCTAAGGTATGTGCCTCAGCCAGAGATGTTACTGCCGCCATCAGTTATTCAGTCAACAGTGTGGGATCGCAGGCGCAGCGCCAGCACGTCGCTGGGGAAACCCTGCTGCACCAACCAGCCTGGCTCTGCCTCTCCAGGGAAAGGGTGTCAGGGCACTTCCTCCAAGGCACTGGGCTGTCTCAGTTCCAGTGTGCCTGCCAAGGGGGCTGAAAGCACAGGAATTCAAAGCATGCAAAGGACCCCTAGAGGGTCTTCCAAGTCGGCACTCTTGGGAACAGCACAGCTGGAACACCTCCAGCCATTCAAGGCTCCTGCGTTAAGGGCGCATCACCATGCTATAGAACTCAGTGCACGGCCAGATGAACTTCAGTTCTGCACAGGCTATCGACCTTTAAAGCCCTGAATGGCATAGAAGCTGTCTCATGATGAGCCCTCCCAGATTTTACGTATTTATTAGATTTATGTCTCATTTTTTTTTCTTTTTTAAAGCACCCAAAGTGGCTTACATTATTCTCTTCCTGCTGCTCTCTCCATCTTATCCCCACAACAACCACCCTGTGAGGGAGGTTGGGCTGAGAGTCTGTGACTGGCCCAAAGTCACCCAGTGGGCTCCATGTGGCCGAGCAGGGACCTGAACCCAGATCGCCTGAGTCCCAGTCCTTGCTCTTAACCACTGCACCACACTGGCTCTGCACTCCTTAGAATAAGCAGGAGAGGATCTTCTGAAGACAGCAAAGGCTTGTGTCGGGCACAAGTAAAAGCACTTTCTTCTGTCCTGCTCCCAAACTGTGGATTGTGCTCGTTCAAGAGAGTGGCGCCACTCTCTCAGCTTTTGTAAAGATAGTGAAGGCACATTGATTTAATTTAGCGTTTCAAATTATGCAGCTGTTTTAATGTTTTGCCATTTTTAATGCTCTTGACTGATTCTTACCATGTTAAGGATTTATTGGTTTAAACGTTTGCACACCTTCTTGATAGCTTTTTAGAAAATAAAGTCGTACATCAGTGGGCCTCAATCTGCAAATTGCTCACAGCGCAAGGAGGGAGTGAGACTGTGCTTGGCCTCCTGTCCCCGCTGGGTGTCCCCTGCCCATGGACCAGCCCCAGAGGACGAGCCGTTGCCAAAGCGCAGCGGAGCAAACGTGACTGGTCGGCTGAGAGAAGGTAACAAAAAGCTACTCCACCTGGCACTTGCCATGAACGCAGAGGTCTGTCTCGTAAGGCCCGCACGGAGTACCGTCAACTACCCTGTCAGATACCAGCATAGGGGATTCCTTCCCGAACAGCGAGCAGTGCAGTTCACAGGGCTTATCTGGGGAAAAATATATATATATTGCAGTAACATTCACCTTAGTTAGCTAACGAGCCACAAAGCTCTCAGGCCGAGTCTGTGGGACGAACGTAAGTTTTCAAAGGAGAAATGCCATAAGAAGTCCTTTGACATGTGCGTTTACCCAGACCTGGAGACTAACCCCAACCCAGCTTCCCTTCCTGGGTCTGTAACCTGCAGGAGCTGCAGTTCCAAGCACTCTGCTCCTTAACACCTGGCAACAGCTGTCTCTGCGTCTCCCGTCCTTTCCTTCTGCCAAGTGATGCCCCTATTTAGAGAACCGGTTGGCAGCCTGCTCCTTTTGGCACAAGCCATCTTGAAGAGCAGTGCCCACAGTGGATGTGGTCCCCTGTCCATCCCTTGAAGGGAGCTTGTCGAACCTGCCGATGACACTGGGGAAGCTGACAATGGCCCCAAGCGTGAGGCGCTGACAACACTGAGCACTGGAACTGAGCTCATGCAGCTCAGGTCACTGAGCCAGCATAGCTCCGATTTCTGTGCCACACGTGTAAAGGGATGCCTGCACACACTCTCGCCTGATGGCTCAGCACACTCAACGCACTGCATGTGTTCACTGGTTCCCTTAAAACGTGTTGTCTCTGAGCAACCAGATTTAAGTTGAAGAATTTTCTGCTTCCACTCTGCCTCAGTCTGCCGAAATGCTGGGATGGTTGTTTTCCAAGCACTCACAACATACAGAAAATTGAACACATGGAGCTAAAGGGAGAGGGCCTTTGGTTTAGCGGCCCCCCAATGACATGATGCTTCTTTATAAAGAGTCAGTTGTCCCTGCTGCCCTATGCTATCTTTTTGGCACTGGTGAGTCACTTCCTATTTTCCCAGGCATTCTAGTAATTTTAAGTCTTGATGTAATTGGTTTTATTTATTTATAATGTTTGTATTTCACTGTTAATCTCAAAACAAACAAACAAAACACAATTCCAGAGTAGTTTGCAAAACATAACTGGAAAACTAGCTATTGCAATAAACAATCACAAGATACATCTTTTTTTAGTCCTGTATATTTCTGCATAATATATTTGCTCCATTGTTAATCCCTCAATTATCAATTGATTTAATCATTCATAATGCTATTATTAGAAAAAACTTAAGATATTAAAATAAATATGAGATATCAGTTGCTGATATATCTGATGTGATGAGATTTACACGTAAAACAGACTTGTCTCTGGAGTCAGGAACATGGAGAGATCCCCTGTACCCCTGCCACAGAAGGCACAAATTTGGGGGCAGCCTCACATAGTACATTTCCCACAAATTTATGCAAGATAATATCAGCCATGAAAGCAATGTGGACAGATGTGCATGTTGCAAAGGAATGGCTGGTGGCCAGTTGCTCCTGGCTGTGTGCAGCCAAGATGACAAACACCCATTCCCTGCCACATAAAGCACAAAGTGGTGCACGTGCCACAACATCCTGGAGCGACTGATTGTGGCTCAAAATCCAAGGGAACAAAATCCAACATACGGAAACTTACCATCCATGATAACAGCCGTCCAGTGACTTTTCTTCTTATTGGAATATCTGTCATGCGACTGGCACTGTTGGTCTCGGAAGGTGGGCACCCCTTTGGGGCAGGGCAAGTTTTCACAAACTGTGTGCTCAACACTTGCTCCCTGACAGTTTTTGCCCCCAGGTCCAGGGCTGTTAATGAACAAAAATACGAACCATGGTCATTTAACTGATAATATTTACAGATGCCCCATTCTGTGGTTCACTGGGGCTTTCATTGAAAGCGCGTAGTATCTGATGGCATTCAGACCAAGGCAAGGAGAGAATGGGACCTTGGATAGATCCAAACAGGTCCTGCTAGCAGAACTCTTTTCTGCTACAACAGGAAGATGATGTCTCAGCAAGGAGCTAAGGCCAACTAATGTCTCATGTAGCCTGACAAAGCTTGCAGTGTGAAGAGCTCGGCCCCTCTTGGAGGAACTGACTGGACCATTTATAGCCCAAAACTTCTGCAAGGCTAGGAAGATGGAATATCTGTTGGTGACTTATCTTCTCAGACATAAGATAATGATAAGACTGTGTTCTTGGGCTTGGAGAGCCCTAAACAAGGTATTGACTTTCCTACCCCCTCTGTTAAACACTGGAAGGTCTGAGGCCTGGAAGACATGTCAATCAGCCAGCTCTTAAAGCAGTTTTCAAAAGAAAATACAAACAACCATGGCCAGGAACCGTGGTAACAATAATATTCACAAGCACCCAGCTCAGAAAGATACTGAAAGCCAACATGTACAGCTAAAACCAACAGCAACAGAATAAAGTCTGTTTTATTTTTTAAAAATATCTACAAGCAACACGAAAGTTTTTAAGGCTTTGTCTAATGGTTTATAACAATGGAGCCAGTAAGCAATGTGTCCCAAAGAATCAAGATCAAGAAAACCCTCTTTCTACCCACCAATTTAGTTCTTCCCACTGGTGGGCATATGATCTCCAAGTCGGGTGCTGAACACTGCTCTCTGGTGTTCTCCAGCCATTGCGTGCGTTTTGGAGCTTTGCTTCCTTGCCTGCTGTGCCTCGCTTCCTAGCTTGCCCTGTTCCAGGGAGCCTGTTCCTTGTTGTGCCATCTTACCTGTTCCCAACCTCTGTTGACTAGGCTGCTGACTGTCAGACTCTGTTTTCTCTTGCTTCATGACCTGCTTTCAGGTCTGACCTTGGACTGCTTGTGATGCTGACCGGATATTGGACCCTGGACTTGCATTGCCTTCACTCCTATTGTCTGGGTCCTGGCGCATCTCCTTGGTGTCCCACACCCGGATCCTCACAGGCAGTGAAGCAGGGGTGGGCACTGCAGCAACCAGGAAGCCCTGCGTTACTGAGGCCAGTTCTGGAGAGAAGAGCTCGCCCTTCCACAGCTCTTCCTCAGGGCTCCCAGAGTGCTCCAGCAGGGCCTGGGATTGATCCTGCAAATGCTGAGGCAGGCTTCTGGTTGTGACCATCAGGTGCAGCCCCAGAGCTAAATGGAATGCCACATACCAAGCAAAACTCTCTCTTAATGCTAGAAGGGGGTGAACAAGAGGGGATGGTCACAGCTTTTATTCCCTGCTTGTGGCTTCCTGGAGGCTCCTTAGCTCCACCAGGATCCAGAAGCCAGCTGCAAATCCTTAAAGCTTAGTCTTGTTAAAGAAAGGGAAGCCAGCCATCTAAGGTCTGGTGTAAGCCTTTTACTGGTCTGAAGTTTGTGGTTAACCCAGCTACTGTATATGCCAGCTTATAAGATGACCCTTAAAACCGGAAATAGTGAGGCAAAAAGCGGGGGGGGGGGGGGTTATATGCTGTGTGGGGAAAAAAACATCATACAGGAGGACCCCCATATCTATAGGGAATAGGTTCTAAGTCTCCCAGTGGATACCTGAAACTGCAGGACCCCCATGCAAACGGAAAAGCTGCAAATATCTCCAGTGAAAAACTGGGTATCTCTGGGGACTCTGGGGGTGCCCCGCTTTTTGCCTTGACACTAGCCAGCCTCACTCATGAGCTTTGTCTCTCAGTGGATGCAAAGACTAGAGATATTCACATATTTTCCCCTGAAGATATTCCTTCTTTTTTGCTAGGGACATGCCCACACATACCAGTGTCTAAGAAGACCCTGGCACCCAGAAGTAGTGAAGCAAAAATTGGGGGTTGCCTTATATGCCCAACATATGACAAACACTAGGAAGACAGCCCAAAATACTGACCTCATGTTTGCCACTAAGCTCTGTCGCCCTCCCTGATTCTTTATCCATCTATAGTTTGTAATTCCCTCTTAGCACCCACACTCATTTCTTCATCTTCCTATATGCTGTTGGAACAGTTGCCAAGTTCCGCCATCAAAAGTGGCTGAATGACACTGTGAGGGACGTGATAAGCAACCTTGCTAATACAAGGAACTGGAGGGAATCCAAACCCAGCTCCTTCCTGTCTCAGATGCGACATATGAGGGAAGATCAGGCTAAGCTGCCAAGAGCTAATCCTTGTTATCTAAGCCAGGCCTAAAACATCCACTCTCGAAATCCTCCTCAGCCAGACAGAATTTCCACCACTGCTTCCACTGTGCAGCTGCAACCGACCCCCCTGCATATCTGCCTCGATCTGCCCCCCAATGCTGGGGCCAAAGGATTCCTCACAAAGCGCTGACCTGCTGGGAAAAGATGCATTCACGCAATCACATTAGGGAAGGACTGTGAAACAGAGCAGCTATGGCTGGACCTCCAGGCCATGCTCTGGGGCCTCCCAACCCCGAAGACTTCCCACAGGGGCTGACGATGGGCACACCAGCACACTCACGTGCATCGGTGCCTGTGTGAGCAACCCTGCTCACCACGGCGCTCATCCTCCTGATTTTTAAAGGCATCTTTATAGCTAGCGGCTGGCCAGGCAGATGCACACTTGGTAATGGCTGTGCGTTTTCTTATTTTCACTTGGAAAATGTATTATCTTCTCCCACTGCTGCTCCCAGGAGCTGCTGCTCCTTCCCAAGTAGAGGTGTTTAGTACTGGGGCCACAAAAGTGGGTGCCCCTTTATTCTTGTAGTGAGGATGGTGCCATGATTTAAGTGAGTTTACCGGACAAAAAGGCAGGTGCTCAGAGCATTGCCTTCTTCCTTTGAAAATAACCAGAACAGGCAAACAGGGCTTTTCTCCTCTAAGAGATCAGCAGTGCTGGAGCAGCTGTGAAGCACGTAGGTAGGGTGGGAAACGCGCGTGCTTCACAACTGCAGCAGCACACCTGCCTGGCCGACAACATGGCCCCTGCCCACGAGGGCCCAGGAGAGCCGCGAGGGCGCTTGTTAGGTGGGAGGTTCTGGCCTGTGGGGACCATCCCTGGCAGCTCTGGCTCAAAGGTCCAGGCAGCAGGTGCTGGGGGAGACCTTTCCCCTGAAGGCCCGGAAAGCCACAGCCAACCGGAGGAGTTGGAAGAGCAAATTTTTCCACCTGGTCTAAAGAGTCAAGGGGCTAGCCACACACGTAAAATGGCTAAGGAAGCAAAAAAGGAAAACTCCTGAGAAGTAGTGAATAGCTAAGTGGCAGAGCTGCAAATCAGGCCTGCCCCCCCGCAGTTCAAATGCCACGTCTGCCGTGAACCCTGCGTGGAGACAAGGGCACTCGGGATTAGCACCAAGGTAGGCATGGCTGGCATACTGAGCCCGACTCTCCCCCTTCTTGCCCGAGGCTCCAGAACACCAGACCATCCTTTACCATGCAGATCCTTATTGGCACATTGCAGCTAACAAGACAATGCAGCTCCAAAAACCCTCTAGGAAGCTGCACAATAAGCCTCTGTTCATGCCAAGAGTGTTGAGCCCAAAATGGAAACTTCTTCCCAGTCCATCTGCCTTGCTCCTGCTGGTGAAGGGCCAGCACAAGAGACCATGCAAGTCCTCCAACTGGGCAGCTCATCTCTCCCAATGGGAGAGGCCAGCGGCTCTCCCTCCTCTCCTGGGTCCTCTCCCATCTCTTCAAAAACATCTTTGCTCTCACAGTCACCTGGGGAACTAGAGGCAATGACTGTGATGGGGTGTCAAAGGCTCCTGCCCCCCTTGGATCCTTCTGCCCTCCCACCCTCACTTCATCGATGTCCTCCTCAGAAATTGCTGACCCTTGGAAAATCGGCAAAGCGTGAGTGCCGGACCTGCTCGTTACAACTGGGCATCTGCCGGGGGCCCACACACCCAACAGGGGCCAACTGACAAGGGTCCCTGGAGTTGCTTTCCCCTTCCTCAACCTGCTGGTTGACCTCCTCCTTGCTCTGGCCCAGAGGGAGGAGCAGGAGCTGCCCGGCCACCTTGCTCCCCGGCTCTCGGCCCAGCAAGCGAGTGTTAGCTCCTTTTGCCCCAGCGCCCCTGAAAACACTAACCGTGCAAATCTTCTTGTTGCAAGGGTTACTGGGATAAAGCATGAGAACTGCTTTCAACGATCCAAAGCAAAGTGCTTTTCAAATACTGAGAATTACCATTTCTTATTTAAGCCTGTGGAATGGAAGAGGAAGCAATGGAGGTTCAAAGCACTCACAGGCATTATTTCAGTAATCCTTATAACACTCGCACAAGTAGGGCCATGCGATTATTTTCACACTGGGCAGGCTGTGGCTTGCAAAGGCCACCTAGTGAATTCATGGCAGGGGTGAGATGGAACAGGAAAGCCCCATCAGGAAAGGTCTCGTGCTCCAAACTTGTCTGTTGTTTGCTTTGGAGAGTTTGGATGTCCTTCCATTTTGCAGGTTAGCAGCTGAAAGCCTCCACGTCACACCCAGCGGGCACATGGCTCCAGGCCTCCTCTTGCCCACCCCAGTTTCCTGGTGCCAGATTGGGCCACAGGTCTCTTCTCTGTCATGCCTTTTGCTGGCTGCTGCTGCCAAGGTGTGTGTGTTTGTGCTCACCCAGTGACCAGATGCGTGACTAGTTGTGTGGTTCCAGTTTGCTTCAATGAATTAGGGCACAGTCCCATTGCAAAGCGTGTGAGCCTTTGAACTCGGAGGCTTGCCGTTCCCCTGCACCCGGCATTGAGAACGGCAGAGGTGATCTCAGTCATCCCACACTCCTGCCCTACATTTTGACCGGGGCATCTGGGAGCAGAAGCCTGGAGAGGTGCCATGATAAGGCCTCCCCAGACCCTCGAAGCATCTCCTTCCCCGCTGCTCTCAGGTTGCTTTCCCACTCTTGCAGGGCAGCCAACGGGTGCTTTATGCTCTGGCCATGAAGGGCACGGAGCGAGCTCCAATTCCCTCTGTGGCAGTCAGGGTGCCGCCTCGGATCTGGTGATCTGATAGATCCCATGACCTCTTCTCAGATGTGGTTCAGGGCCCTGGCCATGCTCCCTCGGGAAAGAAACAGCCATCTCTTCTGCACTGGTCTGTTTTGTATGCAGCTGGCCAGAACGTTGCAACAGCCTGACATTTTAAAAGGCTGCAAGCGTGAAGGCTTGTTTCTCACCCAGTTGCAGTTTTCTCTATGGGAATAATTGCAAGAAAGAGGCAACTTTGAGAGTCCTGCTGCTCAAGCTACAGAGCTTCATCCTAGGCTTTCCTTCCTTGCCACACTACACTATTAAGATGACGTAAGATGGAAGTCTGGAAACCGGGAGAACCAGTGTGGTATGGTAATAGTCCATGCAATGAGGAAACCCAAACAGAAGTGGGGCACACCTGAGCATTTCTGCTCTGTATAGGAGCCGGCTGGACAAAGGGATGCGCCCAGGTGGCTGAGGGCCAGCGTTAGTCCGTGTGTTGGAATGGACTTGGGAGACTCACAGGGCAACTCTGGCCCAGTCACGGACTCCCAGTCTAATCTAACTCACAGAGTGGCTGTGAGGGTAAAACGGAAAGCGGGGAATCGTTCCCTCTACCCTGGATATGCTACACGAGGAAAAAGCAAGATACAAATGTAGGAAATAAATGCAACAGGATTTTAGACAGACCAAATACAAAACCAAACCAAACCAAACCAGGTGACCCAATCAGGAATCTGACAGAGAAGAGCCCTAAAAAGTACAGAGCGACTATTTTCACAAATCTCTACTTACCCCCTTGGGTACTTCAATCAAGCGGCCACACACCTTTCAGTGTGGAAAACAGCCAACTCAAGTGAGGAAGGCATGTTTAAACGGTTTAAAAGGGCTGAGAGATGTGCAGTGGCTCAAAGGCCCACCTGGCAAGGGAAATGGATTCCAATACAATTCCAATCCTCCCCGCACCCTCCTCCTCCTCCTCCCAATAATGCTTCCTGGAGCAACATATTTTTAAAAACATTCTACCCAATATTTTTGGACAGCAAATAACCCAGCTGCAGAAGAACAAGAGATGCAGACAGGAATATAAATTGAGCATATAGAGAGCGAAACAGGATCATGTGCCATTTCTGAGCCAAGAATGTACATGAGCAAAAGAATGTGAAAAATCAGAGCAAAAATCTGGTGAGTTAAGGGAAATTGCACTGCAGAGGTTTAGAGTTACCAAGGCTGATTCACACTCAAAATCTCTTTGCCACTCAAGCAGTTTGTCCTCGGGGTAATGCTCTTATGCGCACAGATACATATATCAGGTGTCATCTGAACAACTGTTTGGACAAAACCTACAATCTGCAGGATTATTTCTGGGGTTTCTCATGATACCAGGCCTTGAGGCTGCTCTAGAATTTGAGGCCAGGAACTAAGGGAAGTGAGCTGAGGGTTTACATGGCACACCAAAACTACCTTCAGCCTAGAAATGAAACTGCATGGAAAAAGCCCAGAACCACAAGAAAGCTTTCCAGAGAAATCTTCTGCCTTGCTTTACATGCGGCTCGGTTTTTATATTTATACTCCACCTTTTCCTTTGGCATACACGGGATCCCCAGGAGATCTCCAATCTAACCACTGTCCAGACCCAGAGGTAATTAGGTTCAACAAGACTGCTGCACCAGTACAGGGAGGGCTGTGGCCAGGGAGAGTTCCATCTGCAGGTGGAAATCCACTGGATTCCCAGGGCTTGGCTCCTCAAACTCTAGTCTGTTTTGCAGTGGCCCAGTGTCCAAGTTCCTGGCGAGCACAGCCAGGGTTCATGGGGACTCGTCAAGAAGCGAGAGCCGTGCATCACAGAGGCAGTGCCCCTTTCCACCACATGCCCCACCAGCTGCAGTGAGTGGGGAAGAAAGCGGGTTGCAGGGAATGGGGCCTCGCATGACACTTGCCGTGCCCGGTTTCTGCATCATGCAGCTGTTCCTGATGGGGAAGACGGCTGGCTGCACATTTGGAGGCCCGCCGGTGTTGATGGACTTCCTCTTGGCTCAGCTTGCTTTGTAGGACTGGGCTGAGCACAAGAAATAGTCTGCGGACACTAGAGGGATGGATTCTGAGAGGAGGAGCCTAGCTGAAGCTCAGCAGTAGTGACAGAGAACATGTCCTGCATGCCCTCCCCCTGGTCATCTCCAGGAGGGTTCTGGGAAAGAGAGGTCCTTGTCTGACGCCTGGGAGAGCCACAGCGCATCTCGAGCTGGGCCAATGGCACAGCTTCCAACTTTCTCCCACGCGTCTTCAGGCTTGAGGTTCTCACTGGCAGGAGTCAACTTACGGTGGGTTGTCACACTTGCGTTGCCTGAATCTGGCCCCCATCCCACAAGTCCTGCTGCACATGCTCCACTGGCTCCACATGCTCCAGTCTCCGTCAACGTGTTCTGGGATGGGAGTTTTGCTGACACACTCCCCAGTTCGGCACCACTGAAATGCAAGGAAGCAGGGAGAACCAAGTGAACAATGGCTTCCGTGCCACATCCACTCAAGGCCCATGGAAGCAGCAGGGGAGCAGTTCCTGGGATGCCATGAAGTGCCACTAAAAGCACTTGCAACGTACCAAGGAAAGCATTTATCAGTCAGGGCTAAGGAAAAAGTGAGATCAAATCTGCAGCTTGTAAGGAGCATGGAAACTGGACCCATGGATTGACCCCAGCAGAGAATGGCAAAATCAGGGGCTGAGTGAAGACACGATCTTCAAGTAGCACTTGGCCAACAGCTCATGGCACTGGTTTTCTACACATGGGAATTATGTGAAAATAGCCCCAGTAACACAGACCACATCCATAGTAAAGATACCAAAATAATTTTGTTAGCATTTTGCAGCCAACAAAACAAAACTGGCTACTTGTTTCAGTGTGAGTCTTCAGTATTTGCATGGGAAAATTCTGGCTTTGTCGATAAGAACCCATCAGATCTTCCTAATAGTTGCAGAGGTCTACACAATACATCTTCCATAATGGGACAATGTTACATATAATCTGGAATGTCCCATTTCCACCTATATGATCAGACAGAGATTATTACTACAGCACCCATTTGAAATGGCTGACAGAACTTCCTGAATCCAAAGAACAATGAATACTTTCTGCAAGGGAAAAAAACGGACAATAAGGATTCAAACCCGTGACTAAATTTTATTAAAGAGTAAGCTGAGAACCCGTTGTCATTGGATACAAATGACAGGCAAAACATTTGCAATTTTATGGTTTCATAGTTTTGGAATGTTAAGATTTATTCCATGAAAATGATCAGTCCTGCAGCCTTCTCCAACCCGGAGTCCTCCGGATGGTTGAGACTGCAACTCCCATTAGCCCCAGTCAGCTTGGTCAAGAACTAGGGATTATGGGACTTGTAGCAGCAGGCATCCAGTCAGGGAAGGAGCTGCTACACGCATGTACCTGAGAGTGCGTCTCATGGGGTTCAGTGTGACTGAATTCCTGAGCGGACAGGCATCGGCCTGCACTCCACTGTTTGAGACTGTGGGCTGAGAAGCGACGGCAAACTGCAGAGGAGCTGGCATTGCCTGACATGCTGTCCTTACTAAGGTTTTGAGAGAGCTGGCATCTGATCTGAAAGAGAAACCCAGACTGAAAGGCTAACCTGACAGCAAGCAGCCTTGCTCTTGTCATTGCCAACTGTTGTTGCTTGTTGCTGTCCGACCCATTGCGACCCCATGGACCACATTTCTCCAGGCCTCCCTGTCCTCCACCATCCCCACAAGTCCACTTAAGCTTACGCCAACTGCTTCAGTGACTCCATCTAGCCGCCTCATTCTCTGCCGTCCCCTTCTCCATTTGCCGTCAATTGCTCCCAGCATTGGGCTCTTCTCCAGGGAGTCCTTCCTTCTCATTAGGTGGCCAAAGTATTTGAGTTTCATCTTCAGTATCTGGCCTTCTAAAGAGCAGTCAGGGTTGATCTCCTCTAGGACTGACCGGTTTGATCGCCTTGCGGTCCAAGGGACTCAAAGGAGTCTCCTCCAGCACCACAATTCAAAGCCCTCAATCCTTTGGCGCTCAGCCTTCCTTATGGTCCAGCTTTCATAGCCATACATTGCAACTGGGAAGACCATAGCCTTGACTATACGCACTTTTGTTGGCAGGGTGATGTCTCTGCTTTTTAGTATGCTGTCTAGATTTGCCATAGCTCCTAAGGAGCAAGCGTCTTAATTTCTTGGTTGCAGTCCCCGTCTGCGGTGATCTTGAAGCCCAGGAAAATAAAATCTGTCAATACCTCCATTTCTTCCCCATCTATTTGCCAGGAAGTGAGAGGACCAGATGCCATGAACTTAGTTTTCTTAATGTTGAGTTTCAAGACAACTTTTGCGCTCTCCTCTTTCACTTGCATCAAGAGGCTGTCTAGTTCCTCTTCACTTTCTGCCATTAGAGTGGTATCATCTGCATATCTGAGGTTGTTGATATTTCTCCCAGCAATCTTAATTCCAACTGGAGATTCATCTAGCCCTGCCTTTCTCATGATGTGTTCTGCATATACGTTAAATAGGCAGAGCGACAGTATACAGCCTTGCCAAACTCCTTTCTCCATTTTGAACCAATCAGTGGTTCTGTGTCCAGTTCTCACTGTTGCTTCTTGACCCATATATCGGTTTCTTAAGAAACAAATAAGATGGTCTGGTACTCCCATCTCTTTAAGAACTTGCCACAATTTGTTGTGATCCACACAATCAAAGGCTTTAGCATAGTCAATGAAACAGAAGTAGATGTTTTTCTGGAACTCCTTAGCTTTCTCCATGATCCAGTGTATGTTGGCAATTTGATCTCTAGTTCCTCTGCCTCTTCGAAATCCTGCCTGTGCTTCTGGTAGTTCTTGGTCCACATACTGCTGGAGCCTAGCTTGTAGGATTTTGAGCATAACTTTGCTGGCATGTGAAATGAGTGCAATGGTGCGGTAGTTTGAACATTCTTTAGCATTGCCCTTCTTTGGAATCGGAATGTAAACTGACCTTTTCCAATTCTGTGGCCACAGTTGAGCTTTCCAAATTTGCTGGCATATTGAGCGTAGCACTTTTACTGCATCGACTTTTAGGATTTTGAATAGCTCAACTGGAATACTGTCACCTCCACTAGCTTTGTTGTTGCTCAGACTTCCTAAGACCCATTTGACTTCACATTCCAGGATGTCTGGCTCGAGGTCAGTGACCACCCCATCGTGGTTATCAGGGATGTTAAGCTCTTTCTTGAATAGGTCTTCTGTGTAATCTTGCCACCTCTTCTTAATCTCCTCTGCCTCTGTAAGGTCCCTGCCATTTTGGTCCTTTATCACGCCCATCTTTGCATGAAATGTTCCCTTCATATCTCAATTTTCTTGAAGAGATCTCTGGTCCTCCGTATTCTATTGTTTCCTTCTATTTCTTTGCACTGTTCATTTAAGAAGGCATTCTTATCTCTTCTAGCTATTCTCTGGAATTCTGCATTCAATTGGGTGTATCTTTCTCTTTCTCCCTTGCCTTTTGCTTCCCTTCTTTCCTCAGCTATTTGTAAAGCTTCCTCAGACAGCCATTTTGCTTTCTTGCATTTCTTTTTCTTTGGGATGGTTTTAGTTGCTACCTCTTGTACAATGTTGTGGACCTCCATCCATAGTTCTTCAGGCACTCTGTCTATCAGATCTAATTTCTTAAACCTATTTGTCACCTCTGCTGTATATTCATCAGGGATATGATTTAGGTCATACCTGAGTGGCCTAGTGCTTTTCCCTACTTTCTTCAGTTTAAGCCTAAATTTTGCAACCAGAAGCTCATGCTCTGAGCCACAGTCAGCTCCTGGTCTAGTTTTTACTGACTGTATACAGCTTCTCCATCTTTGGCTGCAGAGAACATAATCAATCTGATTTCTGTGTTGACTGTCTGGTGATATCCATGTGTAGAGTTGTCTCTTCGGTTGTTGGAAAAGAGTGTTTGCTATGACCATCGTATTCTCTTGACAAAATTCTACCAGCCTGTGCCCTGCTTCATTTTGTAGTCCAAGGCCAAACTTGCCTGTTATTCTGGTTATCTTTTGGCTTCCTACTTTAGCTTTCCAATCCCCCATGATGATAAAGACATCATTGTTTGGTGTTCATTCTAGAAGGTGTTGTAGGCCTTCATAGAACCAATCAATGTCAGCCTCTTCATTGCCAATACATTGCTTCAATGCCATGTTATGCCCTGATTTGCATAGCAAAGAAATGCTGGAGAAAGAGTTACCCAGTGAAATTCTGAAGAACTGTGCAAATCTACCCCATGGCTACAGAAGTCTCTCGACTTTCAGAGAGAATAGCTCAACTTGATTTAGAATTCCTGCAAAACTACCTGTGTGTGTGCGTGGGGGGGGGGGCAGTTGGGGGAGAGTGATGTTAAGTTTGGACACGTCTGTTAATTTTTGTTTTTCTCTGTCTCATTTTTTTTTTCAATCTTAAGTTTGGTTTGTCCTGAGGTTTGTGATTTTTTTCCCTTGTAAAGTTCACAAGAAAATCCACAAGCATTTTAATGCACATTTCTCCTAATACTTGCATTTGGCGTGCATTTCTGCCTAACAGACCTTTTTTTACAAACAATTTTTCTCATATAATGCTATTTCCCCTAATATTCACAAGTTACTTTAACTGGAAAACTCCACTGCTAAATCCTGAGAAATGCAAATCTTGAGGGCTGAGTTCCAGTTTGAAGTCAGAAGCATCAACTTTTAGATAAGTTCACAGTAAAATGCAAAATGATCTAATTTCTCCCAGTTCACATGTGCATGCATGTTTACATGCAGGGGTGGTGGAAGGAGTGCTGTTCCAGACTGCTAGGATTCTCCAAACATCACCTCACCACTGATCTTGTGCCTGATTCCTGTTCATGTTTGCAATCTCTGCTCACTCTGCACGAATGGGACAATTGCAGAAATCAAGCAGTGATCAAACATGAAATTTGCACAATTTTGCAGCTTTCCTCCACAGGCCTATATGGGACTGTTTCAGTCTACAGGGAAATTCGTGTAAAATAGGAAATGTTTGCAAACTCAGACTGGAAAAGTTATGCAAATTGAAGGGGAGCACAAATCCGAGAAACGTTTTCAGTGGGCAGGTGCTCCCTATTGTGCTTGGGGCTTTGCAGGTGGCTGTGACCAACACTAGATGTTCAAATTCAGAATGTCCATATACCTATATTTACATCCACCCAGCGCTAACAACTCCACCATGGTTCACTTTAGGAGACCAGGATGACCTTCATTTATTTCCTAAAGATGAACCCTGAACGCTTAGAAGCTCCTTTTGCAAGAGAGCTGTTTTTCATGTGACATTTACACACCATTTAGACACTGTAAATGATACAAACAACAAACCTGCACATGAAAATGACTAGCAAGTCTGTACTTTTATCGACTGCACATGATCAGCAAAACTTATTCCAATAAAAACAGTGGAGAACAGCAATCCCAAGGGCAACTCTCGGGTCACCTCTTGCTGCTTGGGGATTACCTTGTCTGCCCCACATTCGGTGCCATCCAAAGGAGGATCCAGCTTGGTTTTGCAAGATGCATCTCCTTCCACGAGGCACCAGAGACCAGCACACATCAGATGCTGCCGAAGTAAAGGGAAGGGAGCACATTACTCTTTCTGACCACACCAGCCCTTATTGGGGCAGCTCTTTGACGAGCCTCTCCCGGCGGCATCGCACACCTCTCCTCCTCTCTTCGCCCTCCTCTCTCCCCTGACAAATGCAACAGACTGGGCGCCTGTGGTCGGCCACTCCACTGGTGCGGCCAAAGCCACATGCAGACTCCAGCCTTCCCACCTCTTCAGCATCCCGCCTTCCCTCCCTCGCGTTCCCTTCTTCCGGACCTTATTCACCTGGAGCACACCCACATGGCTCTCCAGCTGAAATGCCTCCCAGGACGCATTGCCATTCAGCCAGCCCCATAAAGGGAGCGCGTTCCCCTTGGCGCCCCTCCCTTCCGCCCGCCCTCACCCATCACCGTTTGCCTCCTTGGCCCCACGGCTGCCTTTCTGCCTCGCGGACCCTGCTTCTGCTACTCTGCCCTTTCTCCCCCAGCAGAGCTTTCCTGCTGCTTTGCTCCCACTTGATGTTCAGCGCAGCATCAACAAGTCTGTGCAGGTTGAGGGGAGAGTTCTTTCTGGAACCACAGGCTCCCTGTTCTGGAAAGCCGCTGGGCAAATGTCCGAGATCCTTCCTCAGTGCCTACTGTCACCAGCTGCTCCTGTTCTGCACCCGCTCCCTCCTCCTTGCTCCCCTGTGCTGACATGGTGGGCAGAGAGCCAGCCAGCAGGTTGACAGGGCACCATCGCCTGCTTTTTCTTCTCAGCCCCACCCTTGTTTGGGCCAGAGCAAGAAGAAGGGGAACCAGCTGGGGAAGGGGAAGAGCAGCTCCAGGATACTCTTGCCAGGGCCCCCTGCTGGGTGTGTGGGTCCCCAGCAGGTGCCCGACCACACCAACCCTCGGTGTGGACCGTGTGGAAGGATGCAGTTTTCCAGAACTCAACAGCCCAGAGATGCTCTCCTCCCAGCTGCAAAATTTTGCAGAGCAAATGGCAGTGGAGGAAGAAACAGAGCACTGGCAGCACAGATGGGAGAGCAGTAGCACCTGAGGAGGAGGGCACGGGGCTGAGGTGCCCTCCCTGGACACTTCCAGGGACAACCTTCTGGAATGGACCCAAAGCGCCTGTGCAACTCTGTTCCTGCAGCAGAAATACTGCATCAGCAAAGAAATTAAGGTTTCACGAAAACTTGCAGCCAAATATATAAATACACATATAATGGCAACATGTTTTTGAAGTACCTTTGGGTGCATGGTGTGCCTAATTGCCATCCTTGTGTTTTACGGTGTTCATAAGTATTAAAAGTGCATGGCTGCTTTCACACTGCCTGTTTTATATGAAGCTTAAGCGTTCAGTTTAATTGCTTCTATATATTACAGGTTTACCCTCCAATCTGACAGATACTTTTCTTTGTGGCTTCTTCCTTTTCTTTTTCTGGTAATGAATTAAGGTAGAGTATCTGTATCACAGCTCATTTTACACTTACTGGAATGTTTCAGAAACCTTTCACATGAGTTTCTGTTTGGCCAACTGTCAAAAGGCAATCTGGTATAATGGTTTTAAAAAAGCAGGAGGGAGAAGAGAACCAATCCGAAAAATTATGGTAAAATACAGTGTGGGAATGTAAGTATGTCAACATAAAATATCCATTTAAAAAAGAGAAGGTTGGAAGGCAGCTTTGAATGAGATTTGGATGGGGTAGGGAAACTGCGGCTCTCCAGATGGTGCTGAACTCCAGTGCACATCAGCCCCAGCCAGCATGGGAAGTGGACAGGGTACAGGAAGGCAGGATGCTGATCCAGGCAGGAGTGTTTCAAGCCATTCCTACAGATGTGGAGGTGTCACCTGGGCCCTCCAGAAGGCAAAGGAGATGCTTCACCACTGGCCAATGCCCTTTGACCATGACAGCTGCAGTTCCCGAAACCTCTGCAGAGGTTCTCCTCGTTTGAGGCTGGGGAAAAGATGCTTTGTGATACGGCATGTGAAACTTTATGAAGATGAGCCCAAATGGGCACTGTGTGAGGGCAATCCTATACACGCCTACTCAAAATAGCTCCCACTGAGCTCAGGGGGCTTACTTCCAGGGAAACAAATACGGAATTTTTGCTTTTATATTTATTATATTTCTATCCTGCCATTTCCTTTCAAGGAACCCAAGGCAGCTTACATAATTCTCCTCCTCCTCTTCATCTCATCCTCACAACAACAACCCTGTGAGGCAGGTTGGGATGAGCGTCTGTGACTGGCCAGAGCCACCCAGTTGGCCCATGGCTGAGCGAGGACTGAGTCCCAGTCCCACGAATCGCTACATCATGCTGGCTCTCCTTTTTGGCAACCTTTGGATTGGAAGGTTGTAAGGATCGTAGCCTTAGAAATGTTTCTTTTAAAGGTAAAGGGGAGCTCAAGGTGGTCCAATACTAAATGAACTTCAAAAGGGATCACAAGCGTTCTGAAAAGATGCAGTTCATGGGTATTAGAGAACAGGAGAGTACCTTAGGAGCAAAGTTCTCAGCTCTGCGGCTGCCCTTCAGCAAAGCTGTACTCGCAAGCACAACAGGCACAGCAGTTGCGGGTCCTAGAAAATGGACCATGCTGCTCCCGTTATTCATCCTTTGCTTGATAACAGCAATCTTTTTGCCAGATGAAGTGCTGGCTCTAGCCCTCTTCCCAGTGCTCCTTGTGTAAGCCATGAGAAAGGTGCATAGGGAGCTGCCTCATGGAGTCAGGCCATAGGTCCAACTAGGCCAGTACTGTCAACACGGACTGGCAGCAGCTGACCAGAGTTTCACGCAGGAGCTTTTCCAACTCTACCTGGAGATGCTGAGAGCATCCCAGGCATGTGGAGTGGTCATCTCCATGGTGCCTCAGATGCATGTGTGGTGGAGACATATTGCATGCATCACTCTACCTGGAAATTTTCTATATGGCGATGGGGAAGCAGCTACATCCTAAAGACTGCAACTAATTCCTTTAACTCATACTGCAAGAAAGATACAGGTAGGCATCCATGGGAGGCAATTATCCTTCAGATGACATGGGTAGTTGGGTGGCTCATGGCATTTGCAAATCTTGTGCACAATTCCCTGGGAGTACGTAACTCCCACCAAATATAAGAGGTCTACTTGTAAGCAGATATGCATAAGCTGGTGGTGCTGGAGAAGTTTCTGCCAGCACTCATCTTCTCGTAGGGGAATTCCTGATCATCTACCAAGGAACTCCGCGGCTTGCTGAAACGAGAACTTGCTGAAATCCATTTAGCAAACCTGTGCCCACATGCACCCCACTTAAATTACAGTTCAGAAGAATGACAAGGTCAAAGTGCGTTGCACTGAGCTATTTAACAAGATGCCATAAATCTTGATAAAAACAGCTGGAGCCAAGATCAAGAGGCTCATCTTTTTGCCATTAACTGAAATCTGAACGTGAGAGCAAGAGCAATGTAGCATTTAAAAAAAAATATCTGTGTGGATATAAAACATTCTGCTCCAATCATCCCGTTTACACTGGATACAGAACAGAGGCAAATAATTTGAAGTGCATAAAAGATCTATGAGCTGCTACTTTCCTTTCAGAGAGTTGCCTTGGCACAAGGCAGGGCACAAATCCATTTTATGCTATTTCCCTGAGCAATACCCACTAACCCCCCCGCCCCTTGTAAACCTCAATGCTGGTACCACCACCTGTGGAACAGGCTAACATTATTCCCTCCAGCAGAATTACTTGTCCCTCTTCTTCAGCCCTTCTGAATGGTATGATTTGCTAGCCCCAAATTTTTCTTTCAAAACAATGGGGCACTCTCATTAGACTCTTCCTTCTCCAGAATTACGTAGTGCAAGAAATACTACCAGATGAGTTATAACTTTAAAAAGTGATGCTGAAAGTGGAATTATGGGCTCAGATCCTTCAGTGGATAGGTCTGTGCATGCAAATCCTGAAAACTTAATTCAAACCACTGTTTACCCATTTGCAATGGTGGAAATTCCCCCATGCGTATAATAGTGGAAAAGAAGAGTCGGTTTTAATTGAGTTAAGAGGCTTAGTATGGGTTGCAGAACTGGATGCTTCCTTCCCGCTCTGAACCAAATCTGGCCTCCACTCTGAACCATGGTTCATACTGCCACAGGGGAAGTGGTCACGAAACTTGCTTACTATTGACCAGAGTGAATGTCACTGACAGCTTAGGAAGCAAGAAGGCAGAAGCCAGAGGACAGAAGCTACTACTGGAGAAAGGCCACTGGTCAAGCGCAGAACACCTGCCTTGCATGCAGAAAGCACGCACACCTTCCTCCTTGCCAGTGGTGTGCCCCGTGCGGACCTACAGCCCAGCTGGATCTGCCCAGAGAACAGCCTTTGGCTCAGGGGCTCCATCGCTGTGGGGACCCCTGCTTCTGGTGGCCAGGCAACATTATTATGAAGAAGCTTATTTCGGGGAGCCTTCCTGAACTAACCAGCCACACTCTTCTAGATTCTGTTCATAACATGTTGTTTCATTCCCATGTCTGTTTCATTGTTTGTTGTTCACTGCTCTGAAATCTCCACAGCAGCATATAAATCTCATAAATGAACAAATGGACCTTTGGTCTGATCCGACATGGCTTTTGTTATGTTCGCACATTCTCAGGAATCCTCCACTATTTTGTTTTTATTTTGGCATTATGAATGTATTTAGAATCTGGTCTGGGGGCAGGAATCTGCTGGGTTTCCTTGGCTTGCTTCCCTGGACTCTGACCCCCTTCCTCTCTGCACAATGACGGCTCATGCCGTCTGTTCATGTGGGCATCGGGCAGGGTCCACGAGTGCAAGTGGAGTTCTGCTCCCACGCATGACTCACGGGCAGGGGTACTTTCCACCGAGAGGGAGCCCATGAGTGTCCCTGAGCATTTGTGAACTTGACCCCAGCTCAGCTTGCTTCCCGGCCAGGGCCCAATGTGTGACAGCAGTCCAGGGAGCACAAGAGAGCCAGACTCAAGCCAGATCGCCATATCCCTAAACGCAACGCTATGCATGCATCCACTGCCTGAGTTTCAGTTCCTCTGCCCCTTCTCCTTGTTCCATCCGACATTACTGATGCAACTGCATGCGTGTGCCAGCCAAAGGTTCTTGAAGGACTTGCACTGATACTCTTCCTGTGTGTCATTCCTCCAGTTGGGAGACGCAAACTGGGAATGAGCCGCACACGAGCCTCTTGGGTTTTATGCAGGTCTTGAATTTTTCTTGTTGATTGCTTAAAAATTTTCTAGTAATAGGCGTGTCTCTTTGTGTGTTGCATGTTTATATCTGTGTGCGATATGGTTTTAATAACGAATCTTAAAAGTTTCAACCTTTGTAAACTGCCCAGAGCTTTGGCTATTGGACAGTACTGAAATGTAATAAACAAAATGAAAAAGAATGTTAATGGAATCATACATACAGTTCCATCAGGATATACTTGTAAACTGCCCAGAGAATGTTTGCTATATTAATATTGAAAATAAGAAAAAAATGTTTGGCAATGTTAATGCACCCACCCCCAATAACGGAGAAGAAATAAAGATGCAAATAGAGCAGAAAATTGCTCCCAATTCAGAGCTAACCTTAGGTATTATCATAGTTTAACTGGAATTCTGGAGCAGTGAGATCAAAGCAGAGTAAACCCATTAGGTGTTAAAGGAATGGAAGGGGGTTTCGGCTCCTCTCTATTCTCCGGTGGCGGTTGATTTGCTACCTGGGACCTTTTAACCTGGAAATGCATGGGATGGAATATACTCGTAGGTCTTATGTGTGCAAGGCATCTCCTGGCTCATGGCCACCATGAGCAAAAACCCAGCTATTTAATTTGTGCATTTACATATAAAATCACCTACAGAATTATGAATCAAGGCTATTGATCATTTTACTGAAACTGAGCTTAACTCGATTTTTAAACTAACAAGTCACAAAACCAAAAATGTGCACAGTTGATTCATTCAAGGGTGTTGCTTTTTGTAATAAATGTATACTGTCAAATGTTTATCCATAAAAAGCAAAACAATGTATTGGATAAAAATGTTACATTACTTCGGGCTGAATGCACAGTCAGCTACAGCTGCCAATGTCTTGTGCAGTACATGACATCTAGGATCGACACTCCTTTGTTCTGCATATTTCTTGAAGATATTTTACACGTTGGAGCTCTAATCCTAAGCCTCTCTACTCAGAAAGAGGATGGCCTCAGGATTCCTCAGTGGAGAAAGCACCACAGAAAGGTTTCCTTGAAGGCAGAAGACTGGGAAAGCAGCAAAAAAGTATCAGTGCCTTAAGTTGGGGGAAACCAGCTTGTCTCTTCCTGGGACAATCTTTGAAGATGGACACATACAGAGCTTCTTGCAAGCTCAGCAATGTCGGTGGTCCCCATTCCTGAAAACACTAGATTTAACTAGAGTTTTAAAAAAGTTCATTGTTTTCATGTTACATTAGTTGCCTTCCAGATCCAAAACAAATAAAACAGAACAGTTAAGGCCTGAAGCACACTTCCTCTGCTAGAGCACACAAAGCTTTTATTAATTTGGCACATCTTGTTTTTGCAGCAGTTAAAAAATATAAATGGCTCTTATTTTCAGTTTTATATTGGATTTTAAGTTCCTCAAACTTTTATTAAGGGAAAGGTGGGGATTCGGGTGGCAAAGACATTTACCACACGCTAAAGAAGGAGCGTGGCTTTCCCCTTCTTTTTCTAAATGCTCTCTCTGTAGAAAGAATGGTCCATATCTGTATCCTCAGAGGCGCTCCATTAACCAGACAGTGGTCTGGAGGCCAGAATCTAGTTTCCCACAAAAAATAGCCCCCATGGGAGTAGTGGGGCCCAGAATAAAGTTGGCACCACCTAGCTGACGACTTTGTGGTTAAGGAGCTCACGAGCTCAGGTACAGTATGGCACAAAAGGGGTAAATTGACATGGTGCAAACAAATAAAATAAGGACAGGTTTAACATTCAAGAATGAAAGCACTGTTCCCTACAAACAAAAACTATTCCCCATTTTCCCTTCCAAGTGAAACAGTGGCCAAATGTTTTAGCATACCTTGATTAAAGTTTAAGGATTTGCCTGGGGCCTTAGACAAACTGCTTTAGGGGTGAAGCTGAGCTGCCAGTTGCCCGTTTCTGCTCCAGATAACTGGAGTTGTGGTCTGACCTGTGGTTTGCTCCCAGCTCTTTCGTGTCCTGGTGGGATGCTTACCTCCATATTCTTGCAGAAAGTTGCATTTGTTCCAAAGAGGATCTGGCACTGTTCGTCTGCACTATAATGCATTCCTGGAAGTTTGTACGGAAGCCGCACTGCATAGCGGCTCCGTGGGTCAGTTACGAGCAAGCAGGTGCTGACCTTGGACCTGGAGAGAAAGAACTTTTTAAAAGGAGGTCATGAAGAAGCACCAGTTGTTGGCACGCTTATTTCATTAGCTGACTGCATGTGCAAAGTCTAGTGGGCCTCCAATTTAGCAATTCATTTTTAAAAAACAACAAAAAACCCCTCTCGACAATTGCAATATATATTTTCTTCTTCTAAACAGGCTGCTAGAAATGAATTACATTAAAAATCATAGAATCATAGAATGGCAGAGTTGGAAGGGGCCACAAAGGCCATCGGGTCCAATCTCCTGCTGCTACAAGACACCAGCTTACACCATCCCACTCAGGTGGCTGCCCAGTTTCTTTTTGGATGTCTCTACTGTGGGAGAGCCCACCACCTCTCCAGGCAGCTGGCTCCAGTGTCATATTGCTCTGACAGTGCGGAAGCTTTTCCTGATATCTAGCCTGAATCTGGATTGTCGCAGCTTGAATTGATTATTCCATGTCCTACACTCTGGTAGCAGCAAGAAGAAGTTTTATCTTCCCACTTCGTGACAGTCATAAAGTATTATCATGCTCCTCCCCCACTCAGTCTTCTCTTCTCAAGGCTGAACATGCTCAGTTCTCTCAGTCTCTCCGCATAGGGCAGTGTTTCCAAACCCTGGATCCTTTTTGTTGCCCTCCTCTGCACCCTTTCTAATTTTTCTGCATCTTTCTTAAATCTTGGTGCCCAGAACTGGACACAATATTCCAGGTGAGATCTGACTAATGAAGAGTATACGGGAACTACTACTTCTTGTGATTTGGAAGTAATACTTCTGTTAATGCATCCCAAAATAGCACATGCCCTTTCTGCAGCTGCATCACACTGTTGGCTCATATGTAGCCTGTTGTCCACAAGAATTACAAGGTCTTTTTCCTTTTCAGTTTTGTTGAGCCACATATTCCCCATCTTGTATTGATGCATCTGCTTTCTTTTCTGAGGTAAAGAGTTGGTGCTTGTCCCTATTGAATCTCATTCAGGTCAAGACCTTTTATTTAATCAATATTTTAATATGTATTAATGGTAATTGGATTTTATTGTTTGTATTTTATTAGTTACAGCCAGTGTAGAATAGTCAATTTATCTATGTTATTCTGATTTATGTTGTAAGCTGTCCAGAGACGCAAGTAATGAATGGCATACAAATTTAATAAATAAATAAATAGATTCTGTTGCTTTCAGCTCAGCCCAGATCTTCATTATGTCTTCTAGGATGTTTGCTATTCCACCCAGTTTTGTTTCGTTGCAAATTTGATTGCAGTTACTTATACTTCTTCATCTAAATGATTAATAGATGTTGAAGAGCGCTGGGCCCAGGACTGAACCTATCCCACTAGTTTGAGAAGGTACAACTGATGAGTACTCTTTAGCAGCCAATCTGGATCCACCTAATAATTTTTCTATCTAGTCCACTTTTGCTAGCTTGCTTATCAGGATTTTGTGGGGCACTATGTCAAAAGCTTTGCTAAAGCTGAGGTAGATTATATCACAGTGTTTCCACTCTCCATTGGGGTGCAGGGTTACGCTGTCAAAAAATGAGATTAAAATAGTCCGACAGGAATTATTCTTGATAAATTCCTGTTGGTTTTTATTAATTTCTGCATTTTCTTCAAATTGCTTACAGACTGATTTTTTAATGATTTGCTCCAGAATTTTTCCAGGGATTGATGTCAGACTAACAGATCCATAGTTCTCAGGTTTGTCTTTCTTCCTTTTTTTGAAGTTGGGGACAACGTAACCCTTCTCCAGTCATCTGGCACTTCTCCTGTTCTCCATGATTTATTGAAGAGATAGACAGTAGTTCTGAGAGTTCCTCCACTAGCTCTTTAATAACTCTGGAGTTCATTAGGCCCTGGAGATTTGAACATGTTTATTCCATTTAGAAATTCCTTGACCATTTGTCTGTCAATCTTGAGCTGCTATCCTTCACTTTCAGCTTGTACCTTCTCTTCATTGGAGATCTTGTGGAAGAAGTAAAGCAAAGTAGGAATTGAGAACTTTGGCCTGTTATCACTTTGCCACCTCATTTAAGTAGCTGGGAATGTTTCTCTTTCATTTGTCCAAAACAAAAGATCTGAAGAAGGCTTTCTTGTTGCTTTTAGTATCCCTTGCCAGTCTCAGTTCCTTTCCTGCTTTAGCTTTCCCAATAATGTCCATGCAATTCCTTGCTATTTGTTTACATTTTTCCTTTGTGGCCTGGCCCTACTTCCACCTCCTGTACATGTTCTTTTTCTCTCTCAGGTTGTAACTTAACTTTTCTTGGAGCCATGTGAGCTTCCTCCCTTGTCTCATGGAGAAGGGCTGTGACCTGTTCTTCCCTGAGGTGGAGGGCAGGACGCATTCCAGTGGGGCAAAGCTCAAGGAACCAGGCTTCAGGCTGGCTGTCAGGAAGTGCTTCCTGACTGTTTGGACCCCTAGGATATTAAATGGACTTCCAAGGGAGGTGGTTGAGGCCCCATTCACGAAGGTGTTCAAGGAAGACTGGACAACCACATGTTGGGGATTACATGAGTGGAGCCGGCTGGAGCTGGGGGACATACTAGATGGCCTGGGGGTGGGGCCTTGCTTTGTTTCTGTTTCTATGTCTATACACCTTTTTCTTGTTGAAATTGTTCGTACCTGTGCTTGGAGAATCTCTTTTCAAGATTTCCCACCCCACTTGGACTCCTTTTCCCTTAAGAATGCCAGTAAGTACCAACCACACAACAAGCATAACACAATTCAAAATATCAAAATACCAGACACACTGGCTCTAAACCTGAAATTAACTTTCTGTTATATCATGGCCTCAGAAAGAGAATTTTAATGGAGTTGGTATGAGGGTAAAATTGTTTATCGACAAATTTGGGTAAAATCTGGCTCCATTTTCAGAGACAGGGCCTCTGATCAGTCCTGAATGTTGGTAGAAACTGACAGAAAGTCCAAGCACAAAATGAGATGTGATGGCAAACACATGGCTGGTACCAACAACGACAAACATGTGTCTAGCCCGACCCTTCCCCTCCATATCCTTATGAGAAAGCTTATTTCATATCTGATTTTTCATTACCCCATGAACTTGGCTGCCAGTAGCAGAAGGCAGGAAAAAGCAAAATGACCGGACAATGTAGAATATTTGACTGGTCACTATGTATGGGAAGGGGGGAAATACACCCATATTATATCTCATGACCATTTTGGCCCAAAGATGAAGAGAAACTCATCAAATGAAGGTAAGTGTTGCTTTTTTTGAAAATGTGATTCTCTCTAGATTTCTATTGAAAGAAGCATTCAAAGGCATCCAGACACTGTCAAAAAATACTGGCAGAGTTTGCCTGGAAAAGGACATCAGTCCTGGGATTCTTTTCAAGAAGCTGTCCAGGTGCTGAAAAGTGGCCATCATAATGTTTTTGTTCTCCTGCCAGCAATTTTGCAAAGCTCCGGGTGTAGATTCTGCCTTCCAACACCCACCCCTGAAAATTGCTCATCCTTTCAGCTGCAAAGACAAGAGGCCACTATCTTGTGATTCAAAGGCTTTTCAGCCAGCAACCTTCTTACTTGAGAAACTTTTCAAGGTCGTCTCGACTGCAGGAGGACCAGGAGAGATCGCTCGGGTTCCTGCCCTTCACCCACTCTCCAGACATGATGTGAGATCTCCCGGCACAGGACACGTGGTCATCGTCATGACTCATCCCCATACTGTCGGAGAACAGAAACAAAGAGCTAAACCAGAGCCATGGGTGGGACATTCCTAGTGGAACCAGCAGCTTATCAATCCCCTCTAGCTGCTGGGAGACAGATTGCTTCAGAAAGGATGCCTGGAGTCGGGTAGTCCAATCTTCTAGTACAGAAGGATCCCACAGACCGGGGTGCAGAACCTTTTTCAGCTGGAGGCCCACATTCCCCTTTGGAGAAACTTTGGGGGGCACATATGAGTGGTGCAAGACCTGAAGGCAAAAAGGATGAGGCTGAGAAAAGTTTAAAGCTCTTATTGCCAGTAACAGAGGATTAAGAGTGGCATTTCAACATGGGGGAGGGGGGGAATTGCACAGACACCGGGAGAAGAGAAAGTAACAGGTGGCTGGAAGACAGAAGGGGTGACGGCCAGGGGAGAGTGAGCAGCTTTTGGGGAACCCTGGAGGGACAGATTAGGGCTTCCCAAGTGCTCTGTTTGGCCCCCAGACATGAAGCTGTGTGCCGCTGCTATCAGCTACTTGGCATGCCCGGGCCAGTTCAAGGAGTGCGGATAGTGAAAGAAACTAGTAGCATTTGCTTCCCAGATTATTTATGGACTCTGTATTCGCAACCTTCAGAACAAAACAAATGTTCTCAGAGTGACTCATAACCAGATAAATCATGACAATAAAACATCTATGAAAACCCAGCAAATAAGGACAAATGGTAAGAGTTAATTCAAAGATACAGAGACTCAGAAGACAAAGAGCACAATCCTCTCTCTCTCTCTCTCTCTCTCTCTCTGTGTGTGTGTGTGTGTGTGTGTGTTGGGATGGCTGGCTGAGGCACATGGGGAGTTCCTGGCCCTATTTGTCTAAATGTGCATAGGGGTGTGCCTGAAAGGTCACTGATCACCCCCACCAGCACACCCTAGAAATCCAGAGAGAACACAGGTGTGCACACCTGGCACCAAAAAGAGAACACTGCGATTAGATAAGCCTCCCTGGGGAAAATATGCCAAAGGTGGAACATGTTCCCCAGCAGGTCACGGGTTCTCCCTCCTTTAGCGTGGCTACAAAATGCTCACAGGGCGGGCTCAAGTGTTTTCCAGGGAAAGATCTCCTCTCTGGCCCCCTTGGTAGCTATATTCCCTTAGGTGGCGGCTGTTGCTGCTGCTGCTGCTCGATCCTCCTCAGGCCTGGAATGGTGAACCTCTTTATAGTTTGTTTGTGTCCTTTCACTTCTGCACCACCCAGTGGCTGAGGCTCTCATTCAGCTTGTTGGGAACAGAAGCGGCAGTTGTTCTTGGCACATGTTCCACCGTCAGGCAGTTTCAGGTCCATCGAAGGGGAAGGGGGGACCTGGGAACGGGCACCCCAGATTTCAGCCAGGAAGCAGAACTGCCAGGAGGGGGCATGGGAGAGGCGCTCCAGAGCTGGCTGAACCTGGGACAACTCTTGGACCCAGTGAGGCGGCATTAAGGGAGACGGGCTCGCCAACCAGAGCAGTGCCAGACAAAGAAGGGGCCTGCCCACCGCTCAAAGTGCTCTTCCAGAGGGAGGGGCTCTGGGGTACTCAAAAGGAGGGTTCTTGGAAGATTGGGTCCAACTGATCGCTCTGTGCATGGTCTGAGATTCATTATGTGGTGACTGAGTGCATTGCGTAAACTTTGGTGAAGAAGGAGCTTTTGCAGAGAAATGCTCTGCCACTTGGAACACGGAAGAGGGAAACATCGCTCCCGCCACAGCCCGAATAATGGATTCTACTTTTAGACGCTCTCTGACCAGTCATTACCTTTCCAGAATTCTGCACAAATTTGGGTCACATGAAAAGACAAAGGCTGCTTTGAATACACCTGTGGATACCATTTCTAAACAACATTTTACATGGTCCTGATCTCACAGGTCTCACCTCCATGCAGCAATCATTTCTCTGCTTGTTGGTTTTCTGGTGAACTAAGAAAAGTACACAAACCATTGCATGAAGTGAAAGCTGTGTAAACTGTGGTGAATTTCCCGTACACTTTTTAGAATTGTGTGTGGGAGGGGGCATGGGGGTGGAATCCAAATCTGACGAATGTACAATGGAGTGGATGATGTCTGACAATCAGCAAGGCACCAGATGGAATCAATTAAACATAATCTGCATATTCTTACTTCCAGTAACAAAGCCCTAGGAGAGTCATTCCAGCCACCCAGAGTAGGGAAAAGAAATCCAGGAACCACCAAGTAATGGGTGTTGTTGTTGCAGTTGCTGTTGTTGTTTTCACTTACTATTCATTGTAAATTTCAAAAAACAAACCCCAAACCCAAACAAAGCTCTGAAGTAAACGATAGAAGATCATCAGCACAAAGAATAACTTCAAATTCTACAGAACTATGCACAACTCCTCACATGTGCACATGTTTCGGATAGCACATTCCAGGGGTTCCGAACATAAATCAAGTATCAGTGGAAAGAATAGACACACCTGTCTGGTACCTCTCTCAAGTTAAAAAAGAAAGATAATCAAGTGTAATTTTGCTGGAGACCAAGGTCAGGATAATCCATACTATTGTATTCCCAATCACGATAAAAGCTGGATGGTGAAGGCAGCTGATGGGGAGGAGATGGATGTATTTTGAAACATGGTGCCAGAGGAGAGCTTTGTGAATACCCTGGATCAACAAAAAGGCCAACAAGTGGGTCCTAGATCAAACCAAGACAGAACTTTCCTTGGAAGCAAAAGTGAAAAGCTGAAGCTGCCATACTTCAAACACATCATGAGAAAGCAAGACTCACTGAAGAAGACCATCATGTTAGGGAAACTCAAAGGCAGAAGATACAAGGGAAGATCAAATATGGGATTAAATATGAATCCATAAGGAAGCCACAACTTTGAACTTGGAAGGACTGAATGGCGCTGTCATGAACAGGATCGTTTTGGAGAGCTTTCTTTCATAAGGCTGCCGTAAGTCAGAGATGACTTGATGACACATCACAACAACAACACATACTAACGAAAGGGACCTTGAGTCAAAATGAAAAGCTTGGAACTAAAAAGCTTGAGAATGTTTTATACCTATCAACTGGAAACCCATCCAGACCAGGAACTTTCCCATTAACATTAGTTAATGGGAAACTTAAGTTAATGTTAATATTAATTTAATATTAGTTATTACTTTTGTAGTTTCCTCAATATGCAAAGCACCAATAAGGATCGGCTTTCTAAAGTGTATAAACTAGAAAGATTAATGTGAGGGAAAAAACCATCCATACCTTGCTCTGAGAGTTTATATCTTAAAGATGAATATATATCTTGGCACGGTTGTTTTTAATCACCACAAAAATACTTCAATGCTTTTGTTGCTTGAGCAGATGTGCCTAAATCTTACTGGGGTATTCACCATTCTCCTCAACATGTACGTATTAACCTGGTCAAACCAAATTCTGTCTGCTGCTCTTTGTTCAAGCCATATTTAGCATGCTGCAGCTTCTGATAAAATGGTGCAGTCAAAGAAGTAGCAAACTGTGTGATAAGATTTTCAACTTGTCACATAAAGCTATGCTGCTTCTTTTTAATTAATTTTTATGAGGAGCTACATAGCCCCTGATAAAAGCTTTACTAGCTTTCCACTCAATGGAGCATGAGTTAGCTACATCCTTGTTAATTTCCAAATATTCTTGTAACTCAGAGAAAACAAGATTTCTGAAAGACTCGTCATTTAACAAAGAAACATTAACGTGCCCCAGAGTGGCCTTGGACATTTTGGAAATTGTAAGCCAAACAAACTGGAGTGTGATCCAATGTTACCAGGTGTTTCAGCCTCACAGTCTCTGGATCAATGCTCTTGTAGAACTGCCACAAGATTCCACATCGTCTCTGGTCCCAGTCCTGCCAGGACTTGCATGTTCAGCTTTCCATGTGCTTAGAAAAAAGGGGAAATATGCAAGACTGCATTGCTTTATTGATGGGGACATAACAGAGTTTTGTTCTAACTGTTTTAATTTCTGCCCCCAGAGGCTCACAGAAGTTTGGTTTTGCCTTTCTGGAGCATGTTTGCAAAGTCAAAAAGCCCTGCCATCCTGGATTGGATCGGTGTGGCCCATCCCTGGCACTCTTTCCCTCCCAGCCTCTGCTGAACCACAGTGATGGAGGCAGGATTGGAGCCAGCCACACAGACTGCTAAGAGAGCCCCCTCCCCAATATAAACACTTCAGTCTGCGGGCCGTGAAAAACATCCAAAGAAAGCAACTTGGCACGACCTCTTAGCTCAGCAGGCGAAACATGGCAGCTCCTACCCCTGAAGAGGCAACTTTGGCTCTGCCTACATGCTCCAGAGCGATGGGCCACCCTAAAATTAGGGAATGCCCTCCATGGGAAAAGGAGTTGTTTCGAGGCTCCAGGGCACAGAAGTGGTGGCTGCTGTCTGCCATCGCTAGCTTAATGGAAAGGAATCTTTCGGCTCTGTTCAGGGACGCAGTTCCACACGGCATGCAAGGCAAACACACGGCAATCACAAAATGTGTTCAGGCAGTCAACAGCCTTTGTGAAATGGTGCCTTTGTGCAAAGGCCTGGGCATAAAGTGAACCTCGGTGCTCGGAGGAGCACAGAATGCATACGTAACAATAAGTTGTAAAACCTCCTTCAAAAATTGTTTGCATGCAACATCATCTAAAACACATTTACCTAGATGGAAGAGGAAATAGTATGACAACAACCAACAACAAATCCAGGCAGGAAAACTAACAATCAGGAGACTTTTCTTAAAAAGAAAAAAAAGATTTACGACCCATCCGTTCTTACCAGGACTTCAGCGGACCATAAATAACACTGTCCCATTGCAGGCCCACAACAAGTGTAAGATTAGCCTGAAGGAATGTCTGCCTTAAGAACATCCAAGGTGCTTTCGAGGGTGAGCATGGATTTGAACCCTGGTCTCTCAGGATCAAGTCCAACACTCGCATCACTACATTTCCTGCCCAATGGCTACAGCTCTTTTCTGCATGCTCTTGCCCAGCTGACTTCCAGGGAAAGTGTCTT